GAACTTGCCCTTCAGACTACATTGTACTTAAGAGAAGATGTATATTGTTTTTAGTCTTTAGAGATTTACATCTGCAAAATTATGAGCAGCATTTACTTGATTGTTTTGGCCACAAGACGTACATTGAGTGTCTTTTGAAATGTACTTCCCTTGTTCATTTTTTGTTGGAAAACCAAAGCAAGAGTTTTAGATCATTGTCAGTCAGAGCATGTGTGTCTAATGATTAGTCTCCTGAGTTCTTCAGGGAAGATGTTTGCTGACGGCTGTTTGTGCCTCCCTCATGGTTGATCTGCAAATTTCAGAAATCGGATCATTAACTGTTAATCACAACTCCAGCCTATTGTTTATTCGGTGTGTAACCATCAGGGTGTGTGCGCCATCGTAACAGGGAAAAGTTTTGAAAGAAGACACAACAAAGCTTTTGGTTATCTACAGTGTTTGAAAATGTTTTCTCTACTTGTTGAAAGCTTTGAATGCATAATCTTTTAAAAATGAAGCAGTTAGTCAGGAATTATGGCCTTGTGCAGAAAGCTTAGGTGAGCTAAAGCTGCTACAAGGGTGGTGAACTCTGCGAGCACAGGTGGGACGTACGGAGTGGCTGCGGTCAGAGTGTGCACCCGACATTATACGGGTGTGAGTGACAGTTCTAACTGAACTACAGCTGCTGTTTACCTCTAGGAGAGTGGAAGATTGCTCTTTAGATCCTTAAATCTATTTCTGAGTATTGCGAGCATTCTTCTGCTGTGTAATTTTGTAGAATTTCACAAGGCTGTGAAAACCAATGCTGATGCGATGTTATACTAATAAAAATAATGGTTACAATTTACAAGACCTGTAATTCCTTGCAAGTTTACATGTCTTGCACCTGATGGACTATTGGATTTTATTCACCTTAGTTTGTTTTTATTTGCTTTCTGGCAGGGATAAGCAGGTTAATTTTCACATTCAGAATCTTCTACCTTGTTGGCAGAGGAGGAGTTAAAAGGATTTTGGGTTACAGCTGCCTTTATCTTTTCTGGCTACTGTGCCAATTGAATCTCAGGGAAGGTGCTTGTGCTCAGCTGGTAACAGCGTGCTGTGAGCTTTCGTTATGTAATTATAGGAAGAGTCAGGCTAAGAAGGACATAATCCCTTCAGGAGAAGGTGGTGGTGATGGCAAAGTAATTTTGCTCTCTGCAGCGACTGCAGAGAAGACTTACTTAAATGCCACTCTTGCCTTCATTGCAATGTTTCGGCAGTTGAAGTCCTTAACAGCTGCTTGGTTATCTTCACTAATAAAAAAAAGTATTGACTGCAGTTGTAGAAATGTTTCTAAAAAAGAGGGATAAGTTTATTGTCTGAAATAGGCTATACAAGTTTTATTTTGAATACTTTATGTGATTTAGACTTTTGGTAAAAGAGTGTTGTGATACAGAGAAGTCCTTCTACAGTAATTATAGAAATAAAACATATAGAAGCATGTAGGATACAGAAGCACTTGTTTTTGCTGTTGGCTTGGTTGTTGGGTAAACCCAAGTATCGTAAATACATCATACGCAGTTTAAAGCTTTCCTTTGGTACTCTCAGACTTGATTTACTTCACAGTACCAGCTTAGGGTGCTGAGAAGAGTGTAGTTGTGCTACACAGACAAATTTTTAGACAATATTTATATAAGATGTTGTACAAATAAAGACTTTGCTGAAAAGAAAACAGCATGCTCTGTAAACAAAGCTATGCTAGTTAGCATGCTTCTGCAAAAAAAACCCAAAAAACCCCAACTCCCAAAACAATACTTTCTGGGGAAATAATGACCAGAGAAAGCATTCTGGTTGCAGAAGATAATATGTTCAAATATACATGTCATCTAGTTAAAAGTTTAGAGCTTTTAAGTTCTGTATGCCAACTGAAATTTCTCAAACTGGAAAAACTGCAGAATGATTCCATGAATGTTCTATTTATTACTACCCCCATTCATTTTCCTTTTCCAAAGAAGAATTGTTTGCTTTCTTTGTAATCTAAATGGTGTTTGTTATTAATCGACTCCTGAAACCTAAGGAAAAATATTTCATTTTATTGCAAAACATAACATCACATTTAAAGAACCTAGAAATATACAAAACATAAATTAGAGAATACATTTTTATTAGGAAGATATATTGTATTTAAGCTAGCGTAATTACTAAGTGTTGTGGCTTTTTTGAAAGAGCTGTAGTGCACAAAACCATATAAAGCCCTGCGTGAACTGTTGTTACGTGACAGACAAATCAGTATTTTATTCATACATTCTGAATTTTTTAAAGAAGATTAAGTTGATTCCTTAAAACAGCTATTTCAAATACAGTAATTGTGGAATGGGTCGTGTTCTGTGCAATGTTTATAAATCACATACTGTAGCTGTCATTGAATTAGGTCTTTTGGAGAAGCCTACAATATTTTGTATGCAAGGACTGCCAAGTAACTGTGGTTTGTTGGGTTTTTTTGGTTGCTGATTAGTGCGTTTTTATGTTGTTTTTTTGTTTTAATTTTAAGAGTGTGTTGGTATGTATTTCTAAGTGTGTTTATGTTTCGAAAAGATTTCCTATTCTGGGAGCTGGTTTTAGGCATTACACTGTAATTTTCTAAATCAGAGAGTTTTTTATAGCCAGTTCTATTAGCTTCTAACAATCTACTAATTTCTATTGCTTTTCCAATCTTGACATCCTAAGTTACAGGGTGTGTACATTGTAATTTTTTCATTTCCTGTGTGAAAAGCTGTTAAACAATCAACCAAAAAGCAATGCTTACGTACTGCATTTTCATATGACTTTGATTCTCCAGTTCTGTGTTACAAAGTGATTAAACGTTAGGTGTTTTGTGTTGCTGGGATATGCAAATCTCTCTTAAACCTAAACAAAACCTAGAGCAGTTAAGCAGTGTTACCCTCTTGCTGAGGCCAATGCATATACCATGACTGACACTTCCCCACTGTTCCCTTTTCATGTAACAACCTTTTGCTCCAGTGTTGTCTTGAAAATTTGATGTAGAAAGGATGCTGTGTGAGAGGTACGGTGGAGAAGACTGGATATAATTACTCCTTGCATTCACTAGGTGGGGTTTTATTGCGAAACTATGACAGGTTTTGCAGGAATAATTTACTTCTGGCATGCTTTATTTCCAGTTAAACTATTGCACAGGTTCTGTTCATGGTAGTCGGAGCCTCTGTGAGAAGAATGAGGGAGTTCTGTCTGTTTCAGATAAGCCTTTCATTAGGATCTTAAATACGTGGTTTAGAACTTGTCTGACTGTTGCTACTACTGCTGACTCCAAAAAATCTCCTTTGTTGTGCTGAAGCTTGAAATAGAGCACTCTAGGAGCAACCTTTCTGAAGGACGATGCTTTAGCAGCACTGTATTTTGAGGTTTTCCTTCAAGGAAAATTAATGTCTTGAAGGGGATGAATTTGAAAAGAGTGAAGAGAGGGTAGGCTGAAAGACAAGTGAATGTTCTTAAATTGCAGCACTGGGAGCTGAGGGTTGGCTGGCCTAGATACCTCAAGTGTTTCCCTCCTGCTCTGTGTGTGTGTGTTAAAAAGATAATTTCATATCCCTTCTCATATCCGTACATGGATAATCCTGACTGAGAGAGAATTGCAAGGCAACCAGCTGAGGAATAAGTAAAACAAAAGCTAATATTTACTGGGAGATTAGGAATTAAAATTTGTCTACACTTCTGAATTCCATCAAGGTCAGACAGTAAAATAGAAAACATTTAACATTTAAATCAGTGATATTTCAGTTTTTCAGAAGTACTGATGTTTATTCAGGTCATGAGCCTTACCTTACAACTATCTTTGGTTGGACTTTCATAAATAAATAGAGTATTTCTGTCCTTGCATAGTTTTACTGATCCCGGGAACTGATTTGTGCTATGTGGTGAACCAAAAATACTGTGGTTTGTTTAAACTGAATAATCTGGATCCTGTGAAAGTCTACAGAAGGCATCATATTCATTCTGTGTGCAAAATCAAAATCAGACAGCTTAAAATGAGCTTTTTTTGTGTGCTTATTGACAAAAAGATTGCGTGCATATAGTAACAAATTATCAAAAATCAGTTCACTACAGAAAAAAACTTAGTGGGTTTGCTAGTGTTATACCTGTTGGTATTGCTTGTTTTTATACCTTTACCACAGAGGATATTAAACTTAAAATGTTATTTTAATACACAGGAAACATTTACACACTAATAATCCTTCATTATATCAGTTATAGCAACTAATACAAAATAAGAATGTTGCTGGCATGGCAGCATTAGTAGTACATGTATTTGTGTGCATGTTCTGATGTAATAATTTCTTAC